CTTACTAACTCAATCTTAATTTAGTTGCTGTCCAATTAACTTTGTTTCTATATTAGATCATTCTTTTATCACCTGATCAATTATCTAATTTTGACAAACCTCATGTACACACACACACTCAAATAATTATATATAAATGCGATTGTACAGCTATGTGAATGAATTCGCCGAAAAGAGTCTCTTCGCTGAACGTCTTCTCTTTTTCATATAACTGAAACAGTAGAAGACGAATACTTGGTAAAGGATTTAATTGGTGGGTGGTGACTAGCAGTGGAATTCAGAATGCACATCTCATCCTTTTTGGGACTCGTCAACTGGATGTGTCTGCATTTTTCAGTGACTTATGATGTTCCCACCGAGGTTCGAACCCGGTGCCCATAGTTTCAAACGCCAAAGCGTTATCCCCTACACCACTTGGGCCATGAGAGCCACTTCTTATGCAACGGGTCATATTAATTTAATTTGAATTTTTGATTTTCCCGTCGAGTGATTGGACCGAAGCGCTCGGTCTTAGGTTGACATGGGGAATGCAGGTACATCCAGTTGACGAGTCCAAAATGGGACGAAATACGCATCCTGGATTCCACTGCTAGTCACCATCCACCAATTAACCTCTAATTACATGCCCAAACATAGTCGGAGCATCTGCACAAGAAGCCGACATGTCAACCTGAGACCAAGCACTTCAGTTCAATCAATCGACGGGAAAATCTAAAAATTCTACTGGTAAATGAATGTTTATTTGGCAATTGGTATCTGTATATAGCCAAATTATGTGTACCTTATCTTCAACGCACCATTTGCGAAGATCTTTGTTTTGTGGTAATTCTAGACTTAATAATGTTTCTTTATGTTCCTTTCACATCTCTCATATATCTCCACAACGCTTTATTATTTGCTTTCTCTGAAGTCACAACTATCTCCCTGCTATTTGGTGTTTATATGTCGATGGACGTCCCTTTAAATACTATTGATAAATCTTATCAGTACCACTCGCTACATTATCTGTTTTGGTATCAGTTTCTCGCAAAATCTTTGTTGGTCGTCTCACATCTTGTTGATTTCTACAAAAATCTTTTGTTTGACTTATTACAGGAGGAAGTTGAGACTTTCTGGCATTACTCAACGTCTCCTCTTGTAGTTTATTAATTCATGTATTCCGCTCATTCTTCTTTGTTGCTTCGACTCATTATTTCCCAGGTTTCTCAAAAAAGACAGTGTTATGCTATGTAGGACTCTGCAGGCTGTAAGCAGAGCCAGTGGTAGTGACTAGACTAATTGAAATTTTCGTTGACAGGCATTTTAATTTTTGCAAACAATAGATTAGTCATTTTGTCGGGTACTGAACAACCTCTTTATCCACAACTTTCTCCTTGTATCTCTTCGAGCAAAACAGGGAAGAAACTTCATGAGAATTTATGCTGCTCACCCGGCAAAATATGGAAATTCGATGACGCCATGCTTAGAACGGGTATTGTGTAAAGAGACAAACGTCAGAAAAGAGTTTATAAACGTAATTATTAGTCTGTAAATAAAGAGTTACCTATAAACCAGCATTATTATTGCATACAAGAATATCAAAAAAAGTCAAAAGTAAAATAAAAATAATAGTGATAATATAAATAAGAAAGAATATAAGGCATCTACAGTAGTTTCACCATATAAGGAGGGGAAGTCTGAGGCTCTACATAGGATTTTCAATAAAGCAGGAGTTAGGGTGGCATTCAAACCTACAAACTCACTCAAAGACAAGCTCTGTAGGCTAAAAGACCCGGTGGACCCAATTAAATGAAATAATATAAGTCAAGAAAATTAGGTGTTAATGAAATTAGGGTAGTTACAAAGGTGATGAGTTGTCACAAACAGTTGTTAAAAGAAGTTATGTAATAATATGAATAGGGGTACCGGTGTAGTGCTTCTGAATCGAAGAGACTACATCGAGAAAATGAACGATATACTGTCGAATGAAGATAAATTTTCCCAACCTTCCAATGAAAGAAACAAAATGAAACAGATTGAGAAGCAGCTCACAGACGTCTTGAAGAGAATGAAGGCTAGTCAACTAATCAGTGGGGATATCTATGACCAGATCCGGCCAACAGGTTCAATAATACCAAGACTTTATGGTCTACCAAAGGTACACAAGGTTGCCCTCCCACTTCGTCCAATTCTGGATATGTCAGGTTCCCCTTACCACTCTATTGCAAAATGGCTAGCAGATATTCTGGAACCTGTAAGGAAACAATTATGTACGCACTCGCTCCGTGACACCTTCCAGTTCATCGAGTGCATACAAGACATGAATGTATCTAACAAAATTATGCTGTCCTTCGACATTGAGTCACTTTTCACTAATGTCCCACTCACGGAAACGGTCTGCTTCATATGCAGATATATAGATAACAACCACCTCGATATTGGAATACCGACAACATACTTGAAAGAATTATTATTCAGATGCACTCTGAACGTCCAGTTCACATTCAACGACACCATCTACAGACAAAAAGATGGTATTGCAATGGGATCTCCGTTGGGTCAACTACTATCAGATTGCTTCGTGGCAAGCCCCGAGAGAGCCAAGCATTGACGATTTGCGACTGTTTAAAAGATACGTGGACGACATTTTCAATATTTGTGACAACAACAACGACCCCAACCTACTGCTGAAGACATTTAACAGTTGCATCCAGCAATAAAATTCACTCTTGAAATGGAAAACGAGTCAAAAATTCCGTTTCTTGATGTGGAACTAACAAGAAGAACTGATGGGAGCGTAAGAAGATCGATCCATAGAAAACCTACGTGGAATGGTCAACTAACAAGCTTCTATAGCTGGGTACCCATTCAACAAAAGCGGAATTTAATTAAATCACTTGCCACCCGCATCCGATGCATCTGTAGTCCCGACGTTTTGGAAACAGAATTAAATATTTTGAGAGAAATCTTCATCCAAAATGGATACCCAATAAGATTCGTCGACAAAAATATCAAACCAAGAATTCGGAGAAACGAAACTTTAATTGCGCCTAAAAAGAAACTCTATATGAACTTGGATTTCAAGGGAGATTTAGCAAGCGATATTCTCAAGAGAAGGATCACATCATCTCTGAGAAGAACATTCTTTGCAACAACCCTAAGAATAGTATTCTCCAGTCGCCCACTGATCTGCAAAAGCCTCAAGGACAAGATCCCGCATCTGACCACTTCTATGTGCATATATCAGTTCACCTGCTGCTGTGGAGCGAGGTACATCGGTCGTTCGATGCGCACCCTGTCCAAGAGGATTCAAGAACACTATCCAGCATGGTTGCGAAAAAGCAATAGTGGTGCAATAAGGAATGCGATAATTGAACACCTGGTTAACACTGATCATTCCATTTCAACAAACGCCTCCTTCAAAGTAATCTACAGAGTTAAGAATAACCTATCAAAGGCAATACGGTTTCGTCTTGTTTGTATCGCTGAGGCTCTGGCCATTCACATAGAAAAACCGGAGCTGTGCATACAAAAGAAGATTACTCAACCACTTCTACTGTCACGGTAACAACTTTTTTTGTTTTTATTTGATTTTGATGACTTAATTTTGTTTCTCTGCCTGTTCTTTAATTGCTTATAATTCTTGTATTCATTCAGGACTCTTCAGAAATTTCGTATTATCTACTTTGTTTCTATGCGCATCCGGAGTAAAACTCACTCATCAAACCATTCATATTATTACATAACTTCTTTTAACAACTAATCACCTTTGTTACTACCCTAATTTCATTAACACCTAATTTTCTTGACTTGTTTTACCAATCTTCACCTGGTTAGTTAAAATAATCAATTGTAATTTTGTTTGACAAACTTAATGTACACATACATACAAAATAATATAATTTATAAAATACCATACAATGACTGTGAGTTAGGTCAACTACATAGGTCAAACTAGTAGATCGGGGGTAATCAGATTGTCGGAACACAAGAATTTAGCTAAGGTAAGAATGGTTGACCCCGAGAAGATGAGTAATTTAGAAAAAAGCTCAGAAACTGCAATTCACACATTAATACACAACCACACAATAGGGTGAGAGAGGGTTAAAATTCTAAAAAGTAATCTATGTAGGCGGAGAGAAAGATTGATTACTGAATCTTGGTTCATTGAGTCTACACCCAACACATGCAATAGAAATGACTCAACGCAAATACCAAAGATATGGAAGATATTATTACCACCAGTCAAATCAGAGGAGGATAATAAATAGTCTTAAAATTTTATTTCAATTCAAGTACATCATAACATTCTAAGAAGTCACTTATTATGACTAAAAAATACTCGTCTTATTTCCCACCTGATTGTAATTGACCAATAACTCTCATATTATTATTTCTGAATGTACATTATCTTATATTGGTTTTTTTTATTCAAATAGCTAATCAATTCCACTTATGTATATAAATGAAGTAAAAAAGTTGTGTGACTTGACATGAAATATGAGCAATGGTTCATGCTCGAAATGTGGTCATCAGTTAATATTACTGTATAACACACTGTGTGATTTATCAAAATAAAATCTTATCTATAATGGAGTTCTACTCTACCACAGTGCCCAAGTTTTATATTATTTTTCTACTTTATTAATTTATTCATAAAAGGGGAGCTAAATTGCTTCAATATGTACATCGCTTAAAATTCTACTTTGTATAATTATTATTGCTATTTAGAATAAAGTTTTATTATTATTATTATTATTATTATTAGAAGTGCGTCGATGGCATAGCGGTTAGGACGCTCGCCGACCATACATAATATCATCGGGGTTCGATCCCCGACCGACTCACTCCTTTACCTCACTAAGCCAGAAACAATGCTGGTAAATAGGAAAGGTTGGGCATGAGGCTAGCAACCCCATCCTGTAAAAATAAACACTGCTACAGAAACTTCAAGCCACTAGCTTGAAGCCCTATGTTCCACTGGGGAACTTGAAGGAAAAAAATTATTATTAGAAACTTACCACTGATTTCAATACTCTCCTGCTCCTAGGACCTTTGGATATGGCTTTCCCCTTGGAATTATCACTGACATCTTGAACATTTTCTGCTGGAAGTGATGCAATGGATTTGTTAACAGAAGCAGGAGGAGCCGTAGCAGAAGCAACAGGAGCAAGAGAAGTGGACAATTCACTTGGATTAACAGAATTCAATGTGACTGTTGGATTATCATAATTTGGATAAGCAGGCAATTTAGTGACTTTTTTTGATGGTGGTCGTCTTTTATTAACCTTGACATCGACTGGACCATAATTAGGTTTATAATTAATAGATGAAATGGTAGCAGCTGAACTAACATTAGACGAAGAGGTATTTGTTTTAATTTGTTTAGAAGAAGATGATGTGTCATCATGAACTGGGGAAAATCCACGTTTATATGTTATATTGACTGATCTGAAATAATAAGAATAATATGATTAATCAGTAATTAGTTAGTATCTTTTGACTTTCCCACTTACTCACTCACTTACTCCACTCGATATACTAAACTTAGTGAATCAATCCGACAAGATGAGTTGGATAAGTGTGGATATGCATTTAAATTGGCTGAGCTGACTAAGTCTCAACGTAGAACTTTGCACAGAAGTGTAGCAGTTCAAGTCGCCATACCCCAAATAGGAAGTAAAAGTAGAGAAAAGAGATTAAGAAATTCATCAAAACAATTATGATGAACTAGGAAAAGACCAATCACATGAAAAGATGTTAGGATTTAAATGATCTAGGAGACTACAAAAAGTGAATGTATCTACACCACCACACGGTTTCGAGCCATATAGCCAATAGTCTCAAACAATTGATTGGCTCTTAGAATTCTAGGCAGTATATACATTCCTACGTGACTGATTCAAACCAACAGCCAAAGACATCGTGAATTTATTCCATTCTTTTTATTTATTCACGCCTAACTCTTTTCAAACCCAATCTTATGTCGGCTAACATCTCCCGTCGAGAAGGCGATGCTTCGGCATGCGAAACACTTGCCCTGGCCATCTCAATAGATGTAACTTCACAACCTCATAGCGACTGACTTTCCATCGATCCTTATATGAAACTCAACATTTAACTCGAGTACTACTCACCCTATTATACCATCAAACATGACATGAGCGGACACCTAAGCTCAAAGACAGACAACCTCTTCTCCATGTCACCCTCACACCCACGCCCACCTAGTCATTTCCCACTTCGGGATCCACTAGACGGCATAACTGCCCCGTGACGTTACTCAACGGTCTTGCTAGTGTGTATTGGACTCACCTCCATTTCCTTCTTCATATTTGTAAGGCAATAAGTTCACTTCCAGAGTTCCTTATGACCAGCCTTTTCTGGCAAGCCATCTGATCTTCAGTATGGAATGAAGGCAGCTGTCGATAAGATTCTGAAGTCTGTCCGAAAGCTTTCGGTGTTAAAGATCTCGATTTTGTTCCTTATGCTGACTGCAACAGATTTCCACATTGATTTCAAATAATGAAGATCTGTTTGCTTTTCCGATCCTGGCTATGACATCTTCATCGTCCGTGAAGTCCATGTCTTCTAGAGTCTTGTCAACCCAACGCATTGCTATCTTTTCGCTTCTCACTGGCTGCCTTATAATCCAGTCCACCAAAATCAGGAATATGAACAGTGATAGTAGGCCGCCAGGTCTTACTCCTGTCTTCATCTCAAAGGCTCTCCCAAGTCTTTCGTTGTGAATCATTTGATATGTGGCATCATCATCCTATACTTGTTGAATGAGGTCGATAAAGCTTTGTGGCACTTTGTAGTGCTGAAGCACTTTTTTTAATTCTTAGACATACACCTGTGAAACGAAAGTCCGATCCTGAGTTCACACCTGATTAACTACTCAAATCATTCAGTAAGATGCCCAAGATAAATTGTCAGGAAAAAAGAAGTACATGTTAATAAAAAGAAGCATAATATGTCGGCGTCATCAGAGTCGAGTCAATATAATGCTGACATAGATAATACCTTCAATTCCTATCGAAGTAAATAAAACTATGCGTTTTCTGGCTTGGAAAATAAACAGAATAAAAATATCTTTATATTAAGCAACTATATAATAAAATATTTCCTCCCAAAATATTTCACAACTAAAATTAGTAATAGGAGAAGTCTTAGAATAGGATAAGGAACCTGCACATAAATGAACAAAAACAACCTATTTCAAGGATAATACGAACTCGTTTTATTTCGCCGATTCTCTTCAACTGCGTACATCCAAAACAATATCAAAATATAAGTTAAAACAACTAGTCCCTTTGATAAATTTGAATAAAGCATTTAGAAGACAAATTTCGCGAGATGATATTGTCATTTCGTGGTTTCTCTACAATCACTTGACACAACTAACATGTTTCACAATAATAAAATAAAATACATGACAATTACTCAGTTAAATAAAAACGCCGACCATGCATATGGTTCGGGGTTCGACCCCCGGCCGGCGCACTCCTTTACCTCACTGAGCCAGAAATAATGCTGGTAAAGAGGAAAGGTTGGGCATGAGGCTAGCAACCACATCCTGTAAAAACTAAACACTGCTACAGAAACTTCAAGGCACTAGCTTGGAGCCCTATGTTCCACTGGGAACGTGAAGGAAAAATTATTATTATTATTAATGACCAATCATATTTAAATAGGTCAAGTAGTCCATGGTAGGCGAAAGTTGAAGTTTATTGTTTTTTGTACACATAGTTTAGGATGTATGTGATGAATCTAAAGTGCTTCCACCACCTTTAATAACCTTGAATTAGAGTTATGTGAAATAATTGTGAAGTAGTTATTAATATTGATTTTGTGACTTGACATTAATAAGTGCTTTTCAATGGATGATGATGGATTTCTATTCAGATTAATTGCATTGGGATTTTCTCTATTTTTTAACAACCACTTTAGGACATGTGCTTTTCGACGACATTGGAACATTCTATTGGTTCTACCTATATAAGTGTCACCGCAACTGCAGGTGAACTTGTACATACAGTTTGAAATAGAGTCCACAGAATTTCGTTCTTTAATAGTAGGTAAAGGGATCGAAAATGTTCGTTTGATTGCTGACCGAAGTCTTTGAGCTGTCAACTGCATTATCTCGTCAACCTTGAATAGTAGATTGATAAAGATAGCTTTCTATGGTACAGAGACTGTCTTTTCTAGATGTCGTCTATCCTTACTGTGACAATTGATAAAGTTTTCTGGATAACCATAAGCTAATAAAACCGAATGTACGGGTCGAAGTTCATTCATCAATGTGTCACTCGTGCATATTTTCCAGGCCCTTGAGAACAAATATTTCACTAGGGAACGTTTCTACTGGATAGGAACAAAACTGGTAAAATGAAGATATTGTCCATTCCATGTCTGTTTACGAAAAATAGGTCGCTGAATCGTTCCATCACCTCTCCTAGTCATAGTAATATCCAGGAAACCGAGTTTGTTATTCAGTTCAAGTTCGGAAGTCACTCGGATATTTGGATGAATATGATTAAATAGGGTAATAAAGTTTTCGATAGATTTACTATTATTACCAATAATGCGAGTATCATTCACATAACGTTTATATAGAATAAATTCTCCAAGCATACGTTGCATTTTTTTCTCCAATTTCGACATGAATACATCTGCTAACAGGGGGACAAGAGGGCTCCTCATCGAAACATCATCGATTTGTTTGTGTGCCTTTTCATGGAAGGTGAATCTGATATTTTCTGTACACATTAAGATGATGTCTTTGATGTAAGTTACAGGAATAGGTAGGTTTATCCCATTGCTTGTGATGTAATCGCAAATGAAATCAACAGTTTCATGAAGAGGAACATTGGTAAATAAAGATTCTATGTCGACTGAGCACATAACCTTTTCCTTAATATTCAAGGTGTCTAGCATATCGGTCAGATCAAATGGACTTTTTACAGAATGATTTGATAATAAGTGTCTTACAGGCGTAAGGACCTATGTAATCCATTTTGAGATTTTATGATATGGAGAATTCGATATATCTAAGATGGGTTTCATTGGGTTCCCAGTTTTGTGGAATTTCGGAAAGGAGTATGTGACCTAATAGCTTTAAGTTGTTCATAAAGTTTTCCATTTATAAAATCATGCATCAGTCAATTCTGAAGCTGAAGATTGATCTGCTTTTCCACAAGCAGCACACTATCAGTAGTATTATCCATCGGGGATTCGGACTGATCTTTGAGGATTTCATTCATTTTATTTTGATAGTCCGATTTATTCATGATGATAACGCCATCTCCTTTATCGGGTTTAAGGATAATAAGATTACCTGTTTCGATTAATTGCTTAAGTGGGGCGTGGTGTTCTTTTGATAAACCATTTTTTCTGATGTATTCTGGCATTTAGAAATTGGTGAGAAATGTCCACCAGTTTAACTTTAAACCAGTTCAGATTATCTTTACTAGAAGGAGTTACATTAGAGATTTTTTGATAGAAGCTTATATACTGTAACTGGACTTCCATTTCCTTATTCAAAAATATAAGTTACCAAATATCTGTAAATACTTTTTTTCACAGTTATTTCGAGTTATATATAGAAAGTACATGCAACGTAATTCCAAAAATGATGTAAGTTGACAAATCATTCAGTGTTAAAAGACCAACTATTTATAGTATAATTAGAAAAGAGGGGAGGAAGAGTTCAGATTTCACTTGGAAACAAGGATGGACTAGTGAAAAAAAACAAGATCGAACAACAAGGTGAATTTGCGGTGAGAGCAGGCTGCTAGCCAATTGGTAGACATTAATCTACATCAATGCCTAGGTCACTAATATTGGCCGTGAGAAAATATGAACAAGGCTGATTCAACAACCAATCACAGCAAACTTAATGTGGGCAAATATGATTCGCAGATAGATGGCTCTACTTTTCGATGTTTCCCGAAACAACCAATCAGAAGACTGCGTTTGTCTACTTCAATAAGCTATAATAGTGTATGTGAAATACATATATAAATACGTGTTGATTTCCGTAATCAAAGGATCTGTTGCCGGCCCTTGTCTTCTGTTGTTACAAATTTATACACATTATGATGGACAATTCTATAGGGTGACGGTGAGTAGTAAAGTACATTTATAATATAAACAAACAATTACATAAATTTGGGAACTTAATTATGAATTCAACTCTATAAGTGAAAATCAATACTAAAACTAAAAGGGATGTTGTAACGCAACAGAAAAAAGGCACAACAGCACACAAACAAAATAATTATAGTTACCAGAGTAGTATAAATAGTTAGTCTTTTAACACTGAATAATTTGTCTACTTACATCAATTTTGGAATTATGTTGCATGCACTTTCTATATATAACTCGAAGTCACTGTGAAAAAAGTATTCACAGAAATTTGGTTACTTATACTTTGATACTGTTTAGGATGTACACAGTTCAAGAGAATCGATGAAATAAATCGAGTTTGTATTATCCTTCAAATATGTCCGTTTTCTTTCTTTGTTCAAAAAATAACTACCTACAGAAATGATTCTTCCAATCAACAATTAGTTTTTCAATAATGCACAAACGACAGTTTTTGCAGGATAAAATGGTACTATCATTGTTTATTTCGTTGGCTTCTCATCAGCTACTTACAGCCCAAAGTCATTATTAAGTTTATGCACAGAAACACTTTTAACATACTTACACAGAGTTCATTTTTAAGCAGAAATCAATCAATCAGTGTATCCATACAATAATAATGTATATATAATAATAAACACTTTATCCCGAACAATAATGACCATACACAATGGAAACTTTCAACATTACGTAATCAGATGAAAGAGAGATGAAAAATATCCAGTTACCAGGACAACTGTATATAAAAATTCACATGTATCTTAAGAAGCAGTTAACTTAGGAGGACAGAAAGAAGGGCATACCTCCGATTTTCTGAAGATGTGCCAAAAGCCTATGTCTAAAGAGAACAAATGCTTTAAACAGTGCCATCGCCAGGCATCTGCTTGACACGCATCATGAGGTGGACATCACAAGATCGCTCAAAATTATCAATAGGCAAAAGAGTTGAATTCTCCTTGAGTGCGCCGAAGCAATCTCCATCAAGCGCCTGAAACCCGATTTATGTGTTCAGAAAGAGGCGGTTATCAGTCTTTCCTTACCCTGGTAAGTGGATGTTTTTATCCTCTCTTTCATCTGATTATGTAACGCCGAAAGATTCCATCGTGCATGATCATTATTATTCGGGATAAAGTGCTTATTATATATATATATATATTATTACTGTATGTGTGTATTGATTGGTTGATTTCTGTTTAAAAATGAACCCTGTGCAAGTATGTTAAAATTTTTTCTGTATATATATACTTAATAATGACTTTGGACTGTAAGCAGTTGACGAGAAGCCAACGAAATAAACAATGATAGTAACATTTTATTCTGCAAAAACTGCTGTTCGCGCTTTATTGAAATTCATTAAGGGGAAGTAATGTATGAAATTACTTTTCCACTTTCGACAATAATAATAATAGTGAAATGTATTCATAAAACAATATTTTACTTTTTCAAATCATTATCTTCAGGTATAGGTTTTCTTGAAGCAGAGTAGGCCTGTTTAATTACAACTTGAGGTACAGGAGCTTCATTTTTATCTTGATTAGGATTAATATTCTCATTTTCTGTAAGAAATGTAGAAACAACACATAACATGGGTTGTTAAAAAATACTAAAAATACGATAAAAAAGCAAAGTTAGACTTTAGCTTTCTAAGTCATATTGTTTCAACTACATTCATAAGTCAACAATCGGAAACGAACAAAGATGAATGACGAAATTAACTTGCTAAGAGGTGAGTAGGGGTGTGTTTTACTGTTGTTGAAAATTAAGAAGTCACATGAAAAACCTTTCTAGAGTGTCTTCCTCTTAATGCCTCATACACACACACACACACACGACGACGACCAGTTTATATAATATAAAATATAGTCTAACCTGGTTACCTAGATACTCTGGGTACGAACCAGTCAAGAACCTATTCCTCAACAGATATGCAGGAAGAAATACAGATCGGTTGGCTACACGCTGAGGAGACCGTCAGGTGACACTGTGTGCCAGTTAGGCTATCAAGTGGACCCAAGTGGGGTACCACGAGTTGGGCAGCCGAGGGTGACATGGAGGAAATGAAGGCTTATGGGTAATCGTGAAGTAGGCTAAAGAGGACTGCAGAGGACAGGACGAAATGGATATGTGCTGCTGAAGCCCTATATTCAATTCGGAAACCGAGGGAATAACAACAAATCACTTAGTGTTATTTTCTTCTACACGAAACTACAAGCAATAGTGTTAGATTTCGGTTGCTCAGACAAGAGTAAATGAGAACCTAGGACATACCAGCAGACAGTCCAATCCATTAACCAGTGAATCACACCTCCACAAGACTTATAAGACCTCCGAGACACAACATTCTTTATTAATTATTTAATTCATACGAACTAATGTTTCTTTTTATATTCAGCACAACGATGTATGTGACGGTCACAACTGAAGTACCAATATTTAAAGTGATCTACTTTAGAAAACGTTAAATAGTGCGAGACAATTACTTGGATAATCCAAATGTACACTACACACTTATAAGATGTCGCCTAGTAGGGCGATGAAAGCTTCGTAAATTAACCATCCAGCTCAGAGAATACAACAACATCAAAATCATCCACCTGAGCTACAAATCTTCTCTATCATATATAATGGGGAAATTACTTCTACTCAACCTTTTAACCTCTTTAAAAAGTTTATATGATCCCAAACAGTTTGCTTATAGGTAGATGCTGCTGATGTTTTACATCACAACACTGTCTCCTCCTTAGGCGAAGGCGCCATATATGTATGTTGTACCTCCCTTGACTGTCTGTCTGTCTGGATTCAACATAGAACTTGGCACCGAAGTGCAGCAGTTCGAGTTGCCACGTTCCAAATAGCACACAGAGGTAGACAAGAAGATGAGTGAAGAGAATCAATAGAGTTTGACAAGTATAAGAGTGAAACAGAATGGGTAATGGTAGAAAGGAATATGAAAGATTACAGAGACTGAATACATCTGCGCTGGCCATTGACAACGATTTTGAGCCATGTCACCTATTGTCTCCAGCCATTGATTCCTAGAGTCCCGAGGGCCCCAACCCGGAAGTCTGCATCTCCCTACCTGACTCAGTTTAACTGTCAAGGATTTCATGGATTGATGCCATGTTTTTGTTTGGCCACCACTTGCTCTTTTCCAACCTGCACCTATATCAGCTAGTAATGCCCGTCGGGGGAGGCGGTGGTTAGGCATGCGCACCACGTGACCTAGCCATCTCAGTCTATGTAACTTTATAGCCTCGTCGATTGATTTTCCCTCTTTGCCCAACACTCTACGCCTAACGTCAACATTACTTACCTTATTAAACCACCTAACGTGAGACAGAGATCGCAGACATCTATGATCGAAAGCAGTCAACCTTTTCATGTCTTCAACGCGTATTGGCCATGTTTCAGAGCCATAGAGAAGGACGGAGCGAACTGATGAGCAGTACACACGTCCCTTGGTTGATAACCGGATGTCACGCCTACGCCAGAGATGGTGTAAGTCAGCGAAAGCAGCTCGAGCTTTTCGGATCCGTGCTGAGATTTCATCGCCAATCAGTCCGTTGGTGCTAATACAACTTCCCAAATAGGTGAAGTGGTCAACATGTTCTATCACTTCACTCCCTATCACTAAGTTAGGAGTTGACGTGGTCCAGTCCTGTAGCAGCATCTTACATTTTGTAGGGGCGAATCGCATGCCAAACATACGAAGATTGCTGCTCAAGGTGTTCAGAAGACTCTGCATTTTGTCAGCATCCTCCCCTAACAGGACTATGTCATCTGCATATTCTAAGTCCATAAGACTATTCCCTGGTAACAAGTCGATTCCTAAGTCATTACGTTCAGTTAAGGATACTTCCATCAGCATATCTATGATGAAGTTAAACAGAAATGGGGAAAGTGGACATCCCTGTCGGACACCACTGGTTGTTACCAATTCAGATGACAATTCCCCATAAGCCCTTACACGACTACGTGAGTTTGAATAGAGTGCCTTGATTAGTGCAATGTACTTTCTTGGCACTCCCTTCACAGTCAGACATTGCCATAGTACCTTTCGATCCACGGAGTCGAAGGCCGCCTTCAAGTCAAGAAATATGACAATTGTTGGACGCCGAAAAGTGTGTCTATGTTCTAGAATCTGTCGAAGAGTGAAGATATGATCTATGCACCCTCTACCTGGTCTAAAGCCTGCTTGATTTTCCCTTGTCTGTTCCTCCCGAGTTCTGCTTAGTCTATGCATGATTACTGAGCCTAGGATTTTAGAGACTATGTTCGTTAGGCTGATCCCCCTATGATTATCACACGAGGACTTGTTTCCCTTCTTGAATATCGGTATAATAAGTGACTTACCCCAGTCTGATGGAACTGTCTCTGATTCCCAGACTTTGCCTAGTACCTCAGTTAATCTACAAACTAGTATGTCACCCCCATATTTAAACACCTCCGGAATAATTCCGTCGGGTCCTGCCGCTTTGCCTCGTTTCAAATTACTGATAGCTTTTGTGACCTCACTTACAGACGGCGGACCAGTGTCTATATCCCATTCGGGTGTGTGCTGGATGTTGGGGAGGTTCAGTGTGGCTGTAGGCAAGTTAAATTGTCCCTCAAAGTGTTCTTTCCAGCGTTCAAGGCGTCTATCCTGAGAGCTAATTAAGGAGCCATTTTTCTCAGAAATAGTCTCACTTATGATTTGCCTTCTCCCTCCCGTTTCCCTGATGAGTCTAAAGAGTTGCCTAGTGTTGCCTATCGCCGATGCTTTTTCCATCTCTTTCGCCTTTGTCACCTACCACTGTTCACGGTCCTTGCGGAGACTTTTCGTAAGTTTCCTTTTGTGCAGCTTTCGCTCCTCATTGAATTCGGAGCTCGCCGGAATAAGTCTTCTAGCATCTATCAGTTCGGATGAGGCGGTAGAGATCCAGTGGTTTTTACTCACCTTTGGATTTACCTTATTCACAGCTTTTACAGCTGTATCTATGGCTGACTGAATATTCTTCCAGGCTTCTTCAGGGTGAGCACAGCGTTGGTTCGATGATGGGGGTCGCCAGGTCAAACAGTGTCTCTCCTTGTGTTTGAAGTTAGTGCTTACAAGAAACAAATAATTATTTGAACAGAACTGTAGGAGACGGTCACCGTTGTCGGTTCGCTGGCACGGAACTCCATAGGTGCCACCGATAACCTTCTCAGGTTGACACAATTTCCCTACATGAGCATTAAAGTCGCCAGCTAGAACGACTATATCTGAGCGTCCGGCCTTTCGCAGCAAGCCAGACAGCTTTTGATAGAACTCATCTTTCGTTTCATTCGAACTGCAGTCAGTGGGGCGTAGGCGGAGATTACGAAAAGGCATCGGCGAGTAGTGCAGTCCTTTCTCCTTCTTACTGACCCGTTCAGACGGACAGCACACATTCGGCTATCTACCGGGATCCAGTCAAGTAATGTCTTTTCTGCCCTAGTACTCAAAGCTATCCCTACGCCAGCTAATCCTCGTGAACTGGCTGTGGCATCTCCTGACACCCTCAAGGTGAACTTTGAAGATTCATCCTGTTGGCCAGGTGGGGTTAGGTGAATAACCACACTTGGGTCTTGTATGCGTGTTTCTGAAACACAACATACATCGATGGCTCGGGATGCCAGAGTCTTAGCTAGTGGTGCTTGTTGTCCTATTTGGAAAAGTGTCCTAACATTAAATGCTCCTATATGAAATTGGTGGCGTGGCTTTAGGAGACTATCGGTGGTTTTTTGGCTTCCGTCGCTTTTAGTGGACCTCCCTTGACTACACATCTTTCAACTCGGTACGTAAATGTCTTTTGTTAATTAAGCTTTCATTGACACAAATTGAGTCCTGGGCTATTAACTGGCTGTATTCTTATTTCTCTAAAAGAAAGCAGTATACTGTGCATAAGGATAAACCTACCTCTCCCTTGCTTGCTGTAGCTACTGTTCCTCAGGGTGCCGTTCTCTCTCCTTTTCTTTTTTCTTTCTTCATACATGACTTACCTCTTTCGAATGAAATCAACTTCGTCAAATACGCTGATGATCTGACTGTCTTACTCCCTGTCAAGTCCCAATCAGACTGTTGGAAACTTAATAGGCTTCTGTCGGACATTAGTCAGTGGTCTAAGCTAAATAGTCTTACGTTAAGTCTCTCAAAGTACCAGACTATTGACTTCCCCTTTAAACATAAAAGTGATCTATAACGAGTGGTTAATATATACGATGCTTGAAGCATAGAGGGTACTGTAATAGAAATTGGGTCTACCATAAAATACCGTGGTATAGTTCTATCCTCTGGCCTTACTTGGTCATCCCGTATTCTGTCGATCTCCAGGAAAATATCCCGTCAAAGCTAGCAAATTAAGAAGCTACGACAACCTGGAATCACTCAACTTTTGATTCTACAATTTGTTAACTCTTGTATCTTACCTGTTGTACTTTACTGCTCCCCCTTAGTCTTTCCTGGGGTACTCAAAAAGGACTATGTCATTTTGAGAAGGCCATTAAAGATTGTCGGTAGGAAGAAAGGTATGCAACTTAGTCAGCTTGTTACTACATTAGTTAGCAGACATCTGAATTCATGCGAGAAATGGTGTAAATCTGTATTGTCTGACCGTCAACACACCCTCTATACTCAAATCTCCCCTTGTATCACATCTGATAAAACTAGAAGTCAGCACAAAAGATTGTATGCTCGTACTGCCAAGTATAGAAACTGAACGATACCGTATTTGGCCCGTATTCTATGCGACAGAGACAGTGTTATAAACGGGGAACCTATGAATTACTATGTTGTTAGCAAAATAATCGCCTCTTTTATTATCGCCCACTTCTAATCTATGGTAACATTAACTCAATTACTCGAAAATCTTAACTACTATAAATATATATATATATATATATATATATATATATATATATATATATATATATATATGACCATAGTCACTACAAATACCAAGTTATGACTTCCATTAAAAATCCTGTAATATTATTTTGAAAATTGTTTTCGACGTTGTTTGATAAAATTAGATGCAATATTGTACAAAATGCTGAAAATTCCACACTGTATTATTAGTAGTGTCTTGGAATAAAGCTAATTATTATTATTATTCACATTGGCGCAAGCGAATTCACTTCAGGTTCTGGTAAGATTCGCTAATCTCCATTCGGTTACTTTTCTAGTCACATCTAGTCTCGCCTATCGTGTTTTGGTCATCATTTATGTTTCTTTATACTAAGCCATTTTCCAAATGTAAAATCTTAAATTATTGCACTTTGGGAGAACGCTAATTAGTCATTTGTCAAGAATTTAAAATATATCACATCAAGTGATATCAAATCTTGAGTAAAGCAATTTGGCATGCATATTTTAGGGGGCAGCATGCAACAAACATGACATTTACGACGCCGACTGATTGACTGGTTTAAACATAGAACTTTGCACTGAAGTGTAGCAGTTCGACTTGTCACTCTCCATGTATCACACAAAAGAGCAGAAAAAGAGATTCGAAAGGACGATAATAAGCAGAAATGCGGGGCAGAAAGCATCGTAACATGAAAAAACAAAAGGGTTTACTGGACATGATAGATCACGGGGAGTGAATTCATCTGCGCCACTGAGAAAGATTCTGAGTCATTTCACCAATTATGTCTAACCATTGCTTCTTACCATTCCAAGGACCCCAATAAGGCAATATATACTTCCTTACGTGGCTGGCTCAAACCAACTGTCACAGATTTTATGGACTGATTTCATGTTTTGGTTTGACCACTACTAGCTCTTTCCCAACCTAATCCTGTCAGATAGCATCAACTATCGAGGAAGGCGAAGGCTAGTCGACGTAGCACATGTTACAGCCATCTCAATAGATGTAGCTTCACAACCTCATCGACTGGCTTCCGCCCCCCTTCCTAACACTCAACTCTTACTCCCCATATTATACCATATAATATGGGAGACAGAACTCAGACATTTATGATCATAGACAGCCACCCTTTTCAAGTCTTTGACTTTCAGTGGACATGTCTCATAGCCGGATATCGCTTCTACGTCAAAGATGGCATAAGTTGGTTGGTAAATCCCACACGAACCTTTTATGTCTGTGATGAGATTTCTAAATAAGTGTAGTGGTCAACATGCTGTACCACTTCATTCTATATCCTCAAAGTAGGAGTCGATGTAGTCCAGTCCTGTAGCATCACACCACCTCACATTCGACAGGAGCAAATTACATGCCAAACATTCGGAGACTGCTGCTCAAGATGTTCATAAGACTCAGCATTTTATCAACGTCTTCACCTAGGAGGACTATACTATCCGTATATTTTCAGTCAACAAGACTACACCATGTTACCCAATTCAATCTCTAAGTCGCTGACGTCAGTTTGTTAGGTCCAATTGCATTAACAATACTAAGGAAATACTAGCTACGACATAACCGTATGATCACTTTTTACACAAATCAGAATTATTTAATAATAACTAGTGTGACGTTTATGAATCAACCGAAAATTGGAAGAAACTAGAAATTATCGAAACCTACCAGTCAAAGGATCATACGAATCTTTTATTTTCTCTTGAGATTCATTCATTGTCAACTTTTTCAAGCGACGCGCAACCAGTACAAGTGATGAAAACTGTGGATGAACTTGACAGTCACGCGGGTGGACGGGAACTGAGCAGACAGGACAAGAGCTCCCATTTTTTCCATTGCTTCCACTTGGAATACATGAAGGACACAGCAAATGTTCACATACTCTGGTGGTAAAAGTTTGGTGAAGAGTAGCTGAACAATTGTCACATCGCATTAATTCCAGTAGCTCGATAATAGCGTTGTGTGTTTGTGGTAAACTGGTCATCTGGAACTATCTAACTTGAGAGAAAGGCGCCAGTTTAGAATACAAGTAGCCCTATTCATCAATAAATGAAAAATCTCCGTTAGAAAATTTGATTAGGAGTATTTTACACGAATTCAAAAATTTGTGTAGTGTAATAATAGAAATGTTGGATACCCCACCAACAAGGTCAATAGAATCACTTAATCAAATCACTGCTTGTTTCCTGACTCAAGGACTTTATGACTTATACATTCAAATCATAGCTAAATGAATCAATCACACCATGTAGGTTTTTTGCTCATTTTAGAAGATAAAACTAACCGTTAGCTGTCACAACAGATGTAGATAACTGTCACCAATGTAATCCATCCATTTTTAGGTGACACGTTAATCCTCAGTGCACAAATATCCATCATGGTCCTCTCAAAGGTATCTGTGGCGTCTTCAGAAATCTAAGTACCATGTCGTGTTCAGTTTTACCATACCTGCATTGCTATAAATCTGTACAGAAAGCACACCTCGTGTCTTTATGTTCAAATTCACTGAAACCACTAGTGGAGTGGACTTTATGATGGGACTGGCGAATTCGTCATCGATGTTGAGGCTTCTGACGCGGGTAGTTGTTTTCAGAAAGTAACCCTACTTTGAAAAGCAATTTATGCGTTTCTTTCCCAAAAGGGCGTGTATATAAGCCGCAAAATTTTGGACACTCAGTGGAAAGATAGTTTGAGACGCTTCGTGTAACTGGCTAGCATCCACTGCGTTTAGCTTTCAAACATTTATTTCGCCAGTGATTTTTATTTCTTATTAATCGGAACGCCTGAAATGCTGTCTGGGATTATAGAGAATTTACCGCATGATTTCGCATTAAAGAAACCAAAAATTGCAAATATACCATAAAACTTGCAAGAGGACCTGAAAACGAATAGCGTTTAGCTGTGATATGAAATAAAGGTAGTCATTTGAGTATAAAGAAATTCGTTCTTATGCCAAAAGTCAAAAATTGGTTGATATTCTTTTTAAACTAACGATAAAGGTACTTGGATGCCCCCTTTAGTTCTTTCATCTAGTATAGGGTGTCTGTCACATTAAAGTTCGGGAACAGAATACACTTTTTGAAGTAATAAAACTATGGAAGCCTCTCAAAAAGCAACCCATTTTATTATTATTATTATTTATTGCTCCCTCGGGTTCCTAGTGGAACACAGGGCTTCAACTGCACGTCTCCATTTTTTTTGTCTTCTGCAATACTTTTCGCCTGCATCCATGTTAATTCATCTTCTTTCAACTCCTCTTCACACGATCTCCTCCATGTCACCCTTGTACGTCCCACACGCCGCTTCCCTTTCGGGTTCCACTCGAGGGCTTGGCGCGCGATATCACCCAGAGGTCTCCTCAGCGAGTGTCCGATCCATCTCCACTTTCTCCTGCATATTTGTTGGGCGATTGGTTCTCAAAAAGCAACCCATTTTAGCACTTGATTAATTCACTAATATTCATACTAGACCAACAAAGTACTTAAAGTCAGCCCGAAAGACTGTTATGACTGCGTTTACAAATTTCAAGCGATGAACTATTCCCCTCACATTTTACTGATCTGACTAGTGTAATGATTAGAGGAGCCAGTGACACTGAGCGGTTCTCAAGGACTTATAAATCTGCATTATTCAGAGGCTAAGTCTATTTAAATAGTATGATATCTGCACATACCTCATATATATACACTTTCTCTTCTAACCTTATATTTGAATCTATAGCTATAACTATATATTGTGTATGCACAGTATAAGTTGGCGACAATTTCTTACCTATGCAAATTTAAGCAGGGATTTTCTTAGACGCTAGCTGATAGAGAGAGTCCTTAACAATGATTCGAGAAGACTAGTCTCCCATCATACTCCCCATATTAAATTAACATATATCGCAGTCGAATTATCGCCTTATATTAAAAAATATTGTCAAATGAATTTCTTATTATATAATACGGTATTCCATCTGAAGTTGTCCTCGCATTACGTATGTTAGGCAAAATAGCGGGAAATTACAATGTTTAATCATGGTACTAAGTAGTAGATAAACGGGCAGAAATAATAGGAATAATGACAAAGTGTAATGATACACAAGCTTGCAATTCTAAACTTATTCTAACCTACTCTTCGATAATGCCTTTTTATGGTAAATGAAGACTTTATCTACCAACTATGTTCTGAAATAACGCTGGTCGTGCTTAAAAAAAGAGAGCTGAGTGCTGAATTATCCTAGTTCGTCTTTAATATCTCCTGTGAGGGCTGGAACAACACTGATAAGCGAACACAGTAGATTCTGATCTACTCATGAAAATGACTAGAAAAAGAACACAGTGCCGAATTGGTGCCATTCATGCTGAAAACCAGCACTGAGTTCTGGTCTGTGCCATTAAAGAATACATTCCAGAACAGATTCAGAATTTACTAACTATAGAATGTTAGAATTATGTTAGAATTAGTGAGATTTAATTCAGCATTATAGTAAGCTTAAGATAGCATGGGTTGAAACAGACGCTCCAGCATGCAAATGAGCTTCAGAGAGAGATATGATGCAAATGATTATGTGAAAATTTCTAAATACTGATCTTAAATCTCACTTGAACCACTTAGGTTGACAGAGGAACATAAAATATCCAGAGAGAGTAGATAACCGCAGAAGTCGAAAAGACCGCTGGGAATCCTCGTTTCAAAACCTGCGGTCACTACATTGTTAACTAAATGAAGGTCACTAAAACTGAAGTCAAAATACTAGTTGTTTATGTACATAGATACTGAAACCGATATGGTGAAATTACAATCGATTTTCAATAATATGTTCATTGTGTATAATCACATCACTCTAAATTTCAGGGCTTACTTTGATTTCGACAGGTTCTTCTTGGGGTAACTGTTGGCGTTTCCAGTAGAAGCTATCAATAGCAAAAATAGCTTCTGTTGCGGGGAGCAGATTACCAAAAATTGGGTGATTTAGGCTGATGTCATATTCCTACCTGGCCTTCAGATTCATTCCACACAACCAAGATTTAAAGTACTCGCAGACAGACTTTGCATGTTGGTACGAAACAAAATGAACACATTTAGCCGGATAAAATTAAGCAATTATAATTCGTTGGTTCTTTTCATCTGCAAACAGCTGCGCGAAAATGTTATATAAATATAAAGGATAATCAAGGATTCCGATTAATGATTATAAAGTACGGAAATATATAATAAGCTTCATGAATTCTACCTGATAGAGACACCAAAAATTGTTCAGACTCCATCTCATTCTTGATAAAGTGGAGATTTGGCCTGCTGCACACAAAGTCAGGGAGGGGGACAAAGGCTGGCTTAGACCACTGTCTAGTGATAGTAACTTTCAACGTCCAAGTAAGAGCCTTGAAGTTGTTTGGAGATAGATCATTGTTCAATTTTAACAGTAAGAAAATGGTAGACGGAACTATGAAATATACCCTCAATGGGGCCCTCAGAGAAAATTTGGAGGTTCTGTAGCTTCGCTGAACAAACCTACATGAAGAAACACTTGAACATCGGGAGTGGTGTCTTGGAGAAGCCTTTACAACTGTCACGGGAAGTCACAGACCAACAAGTGGTCCCCTACGGACACGTGAAAGTTGATAAAGGAGAGGGAGATGGTAGAAAAAAAGATGATCCCGTTCTAAAATGTATGCTAAAGGAGAAGCTGAAAATATCAAATTCTACAGCATGGACACCAGGGTAGTAATATTGTCCATATCTTTGCATAAGCACACATGGCTTTCCTGATCGCTACTCACCTTCATCTCCCCAGATTCCTACCATTGTTAATACCTTCCACAAGTGGATTCACCACTTTCTCTTAACTCAGAAATGGAGACCATGACTGGGAAAATACGTCTAATGGTACCTTAAAACCATACCTCTAGCTTCGTATTGTAGCATACAAAGGCTGGAATACAAGCTTAACCCGCTAAACCTCTATCATCTCAGCCATTGATGCATGCCGCAATAAAGTGCGGTTATTTACTTAACCCCATCTGACCAGCGTGATAAATCTGCAAACTTTACTTTAGCGGTGTCGCGTGGTACGCATGAACGTGTGTGTTAGTAGCACAGAATGAGAGGACAGGTAGATCACCAGCTGACTGAACTTCAATGAACAGTCGTTTGTGTGTTGTCCTGCTGAAAGGATCCCTTAGAAGAAAGGAGGATTGAGATACCGGTCGATGACTTTTGGCGGTATCCACTTAAGACCCAAATAACTATAGCCCGGGTGAAGTAAAGTCCAAGCTCTGCTTAAAGTCATCTAGTTTGTCGCTAAAACCCAGACCAGCAGATACAGTCATTTAAACAGGTGACTTCTGTGTCTAAGTAGGGAAGTTGTCCAAGTCAGAGACGTGTATGTCTGGCGCTCACGGAGTTCCACTCTTGCGAGCCGAAGGCTGCGGCCGTCTTCTGCGGTTATTTTTCACTTGTCGCTCGCTCCTAGTCAGCTCGAACTCCAGCCCTAACTTGACGACCCCCATCAAGGGTTCAACGCTGGACTCAAATGGATCATGTAGCGACAGACTACATTTGGCAGGGCTAAGTAAAAGACTATGTCTGCTCCTGGAACATGTGCACAAACTCCGATTACGCCCTAGTTCACGCATTTTTATGCTTACGATTGAAGAGCTGAAGGAAAAAGATGCTGAACACATATCTGAGTTTAGCAGCAAGACTCATCTCGAGAAAGCCTGGCATAATATTTGATCCGCTATATGAACAGTGGTAAAGACCGGTGATAATGTTATAACAAATGTTAAAATGTGTCAGTGGATTTCTGCTACTTCATCCGAAATAACAGAAGCTAGGAGACTGATTCCGGTTGGCTCCGATCATGACGAGCAGAGAAAGGCGCTCATGCGAAAACTGAAAGGGGTCTCTGCAGTGATCACGAACAATAGCGGATGGTAAAAGCAAAAGAGGTTAAAAAGACATCGGCGATAGGCGACACCGAACAATCATCCAGGCTTA